AATGAAGCTATAGGAGAAGTTTTCGTTTTTCTCTTTATCTCATATTTCGTGCACTCTCAATTCTAAAGCTGGCAGACTTACGAATGATACTCGATTAGTTACTTCTGATAATTTCTATGTAAACCGTCATCGTCGATTTGGGTAATCTAACCGTGGTAAATTAGTTTATTATGTTTTGATGACAAAAAAAAATAATTGAGAACGAGAAACCTGTGCTTCATTTAGTTTACTTTTTTGGACCGGTCCTTAATAAATCATGTTTGAAGTTTGAAGATGTGCATAAACTAGGATAATTTAAGGTTATGAAAATAACTCAAGCAAGCTAAAAAGTAGTTGGAACATGGAGTGTTCACAAAGTCAAAGCATAAGAATACGTAAACAAAATCAAAGTTTAGCTAAGAATATGGAATCTGTCATTAGCGCCAAAGTCGATACTACTAGTATACTACTATTGGAATTGGACTATACATGGCACTTGTCAATCTCGAAAGATTGTTTCTTGCACATTTGTGCGAAGAATTATTAAATTTAGATCATGACAAAATTGCAAATCAACATCAAAGATTTCTATTGATAAGCGTACGGTAAAAAAATACCTGAATTACATAGTTGAAGTGTGCTACAAGTAGCATACCAAGCATGAATTCCGCATAAATTAATCCATTTCCCATGAATATGTCACTTTCTTGATTAATTAAACACCTACCAACATGTAATTTACTATATAAATTATTAGTGATTGTCCACGCGTTGCATAGAATTTAAAGTTAACATGGTAAAATATGCAATAATTTATAATGTATTAATTATTTGTGTATTTAATATCATATAAATTTAGTGTTTATAGTAAATAATTATTTAAGTTAGAAAACTAACCATTTACACCAAATTGTTGTACAACTACAATGTTATAGGCAAAAAAAAAAGAAAAGACGGTTACAACATAAGAAAACATCTTTGTTGACACAAATCCTTAACTTGTATGTATTTATCTATATTCACTACGGTTTTATAAAACAACGATTGTAAAAATCTATTGATTAGACATGTTATAGTATATTTTGCTTCTATAGAGACATCTGCATATGCTCAACAGAAATGCTGGAATGTATCTTTCTGTTTATTTCATTAGAATCTTGAATCATAACGAGAGAATAATTGATGCTTGATTGTATTTATATCTCACTTTATTTGTCGATTTGCT